GAAACATGAAAACTCGATGAAGGCGTAATTAAAATAAAAACTATAATAAAACACGAATATATCCATTTGAAATGAAATCAAAAGAATAAAAAAATGTACAAATGAAGGAATTATTAGAAACAAATTACAAATCTATACAAGGAGGGATTTTCACACACAAAACCTTTGAACGAACTGATTACGAAGTTGAAGGATTATATTGAATACCACACACAACAGAATCGATTATCCTAACGTGCGAATAATTGATATATTGGTGCAATTTAGTAAATCCGTTACATCTTATAAGGTCAGTAAAAAAATAAGCAAGACGAGTAAGAAATCTATTGAAGTTGGGTGAACAACTGGTCAGATATGTGACACTTATAACGATAGAATAATCAGTATGGACATAGAGAGGATCGATTGTAGGGGGAAACTGAATAGATGACGTTAGAGTTTGTGATGAAGAGTAACCATTGCAGAGATTCTGAAGGCAATGTAGGCAGTACCAGATTTACACACGCTCTCACGTCCTAGTTACACAAGTCAGAACAACTGTTACTTAAGGCCTGCCCTCTTTTGAACTATGTTTTCAGCGTCTTTTACAAGACGATTGAAATATTTTTGATACCCACAATCATCGTACTACACATGTCACAAATATAAACATCTGCTTTCTCAGTACTATAATAAGATTTCTGAACCAAAGTCTTTCATCACACTTCACCCACTGACAATTGGTTAAGAGTTCTAGGACCATAGACGTTCGCTATCAAATCGATTTTTATGTATCATGGACAGTCATTTCAGTCACCGATTCGTTAGATTCCAGGAATCGTCTTGTGAATTCAGGTTCGGTCAGATAGGAATACAGATAATCTCCGACTCGCAAACAAACAACATTCAACACTCATTGGGATAAAATGTCATCATCGCTCCGCGATGGATTAGAGCACCTCACTGAGTTTTACCCGACATGAGAATTCGTAATTTACGACTCAACCATCTGATTTCGGTCCGATTTGTTTTTAGAAGCCTGTAAATTCGGAAGTCACATCGAAATGTTTGAACTTGAGACAGAGAGTTTTTGAACATTGATTTTGGGTATACGTTAGACCATGTTTACAAAATATACTAGAAGAACAAGTGGCTGTTTTATATCTCAAGTTGATTTATAGAAATGTGTTCAGATGATAACAATTGAAGCTACCTTAAGGAAGTTTTGGACCTACTATTTTGTAGATGGGTGTGTGAAGTGAATTTTATAGAGTGATTTCTCATATCTATGACTCTGTGACCGATTTTATTCAAGTTTTTATATCTGCTCACATGATTACCACTGATAAGCCTTGAGATGGTTACAGGGTCATTGCTCATATTCAAAGCCAAGTCAGTATATCAAATGCTCCAAGGCGTTGGCCTGGAAGAGGAAGCAAATTTTGTGCTTTAGAGTCACTATTGATTGGTGAAAACTCATTATTATTGCCATACACCTGATGAGATCACCCTATTTGAATAAAACTCACAGTTGCTGTGAAGTTAATATGAATTTGTTCATCGTAAATGTGTCATCAGTAGATATTAGCTTAAGTTATGTACATAATTTATTAGGCGAATTAGTTTGGTATGTTGGCAGGGGTGTGAACAAGTCCGGACTCGAACTAGTGATTCAGTAAAATATATCTCTGCCACCAACCATCACATTGCTATAAAACATGATGTAATAATCTCACTGTTAAGTTTGTCTTACATTGTTCCTACTCGTTCCCTTTCCACTCTTCTGCATATTACTACTTATATTACTTATTTACATTCAGTAAGCAGTTGTATTTCCAACAACGCAAGTTGTACTGTAATATTCTGAAATGTTCACATATACTTATAACGTTTACTGTACTTATCATTGTATTTATCATTAAAATTACTGTATTTTAATCGCTGTAGCGGTTATCCACAGTTTTTGCATTTGTTTAAACGCAGCAGTTTCCATATTGTTTGCTCTTAGTTGGGGTTTCGGTTGTTCGTGAACTGTTATCAAATTTAGACTCAGCTATCAGCTGTCCTTTGTACTATCGTATGTTATAATTGTTCTTTATGTTACTGTTACAAGAAGCCTTTTTATTTTCATACTTGAAGGACGCGTTTAAACGCCCCAGACACCTCACAAGTTGAGGTTTGTAACTAAAGTTTGTTTATTATTCAATAAAGAACCTCTATTGTAGAAAAATCGTTGTTTTGGAAACTTCGGTTTTGCGCTTCCATAGATCTAACACTCATTTTCTTATCAAGTTTGCATGTTTGCGGTCCCCATATTGTAATAGAACACTGTTAGAAAATATGATAGGGTGAGAATCAACAACGTTTACATGGTCACTGCTTTCAACTTATTTGTGCACTTGTACAGATAGTAGAATGATATCTCGACAGGAAACTAAGTTGTGCCGACTACTATGTATTTTTGAGGGTATGAACTCACTATAACAAGCAGTGCGTCATCAGTGTCGTTAGAAATCCATCACCACAAAGAATGAACCGTAATAGTATCAAGGCAATTTGGATAGAATATCATGATCGGCACACGTTATTTGCGAATTGATCTGAATATTCTATTTTGAGTCTGAGATTAAGGGAGGACATAATGAGTTATTGGAAGTTAAGAAAAATTTTCTATTCAATGAGACTATGGTTCTCTGTGCCGAAAGTCTATTTACAAATGAATTTGCGTTGATTGGTATTGAGTTTGAATATAAAGTAATTAGGTGCAGAATAGCTATTAATGTCTATCGATGTTGCGTAACTTAAAGGATACTAGAGAATTGTTTGGTTTAGACATGGGATTGTTTTTAACTCTAATCTGAATGAGGTATAACGCAAGAAGATCCAGGGAATTCCGTGAACTAAAACTTGACATGAGGGACTGAAATGTTCATATCGATTGGACTCATAGCCAGGGTAACTATCCGCTCGTTATAGTTCAGCAGTAAATGGTGTGTTACCTAAGAGTCGTTGTTATGCAAAGTTGAAGGTTACGTGTAATATAATCGTAGGTTCAGCAGTGGAATAAATAAATTTCTTGTGGTCAGCCAAGTCTTTCTATTACGTCTACTCACATCAGAGTTATAGCGAACACGTTTTGTGACGATCAAATGGAGTCTATTCAATTGAGATAGGCAATATTTTTTCGACAAGTCGCCTATTGTCTGTACGTACAGGTGGTCTGACAAGCTGGTGGATCGACCAATTTTGTTGGTCTTCACGATATATATACAAGGATTTATTTACTATAAAAGAACTGGTATATTACTATTAAGTTCTGTTCATCGCTAGTGTTCACCTATAAGTTATATTCTGCCAACAAATCTTTTTTTATCATATTTGTAATTTGACGAAATTAATTATACTAGACAAAGTTGAATCATGTTTCCATTACAAAAATAAAATACGGCCATTCATAAAGACCTTAAGTGCATTTGGCAGTTAGGGCACAATAATGATTGGAAGGAACTGTGAATTACTTTATACATAGGGATACTTGCCACGTATGTGTTAAAAACCTTCATTTCTCTATCACTCTGCATGGATTTGCCGTAAGCGTTCGTTTGCAGTGATCACAATTAGTGAAATTCGTTATACTGACTAGTGGCACATGAAACAGACTGATATGCATTCTTGTGGTCCTGTATATGACACTAAAAAACCAGTGTGCAAAGTAAGCACACCTAGACCTATTGTACTTGAAATTCAAATCAGGCAGGTAATAATAATGAACAAAAGACATCACCAATCCTGGAAAATCTCTGGTCACCTTAGAGAATATACGACCAGAAGTGTGAAATATTCGGCGAGGAACGGACCATAGTAGTATTTATGAATTCTAAATTCTATTACAACACTCAGATGACACTGGCTATTGAGCTCATTTTGAAGAATAGCTTTTCGATCGATGACCTAGTTTACAATAGTTTGCTGTGCGACACCGAAATGTGAGGATTGTCAAAGGTTTGATTGTTCTAATACTAAAATGTTCTCTATGAAGATCGTCAAAAACAGATTTACGTAACAAAGCAGGAATAACGGCAAAACCGTTTACACAAAAGTTCCATAAGGAATTATAGGTATATTATAACCCTTGGCGACGTAAACCGGAAATTTACGTTTCAGACAAGAGGTTCAACCTTCCTCGACTTTCACTGGTATACACCTAAAGCATCGATTATTTTCTGGAAATCACACCAACGTCCACTGTAATAAGTACGAAATCTTCACCAGGTGAGTAAGTTCAGTGTGCTCCAACGTTTTATAGAATTTTCAGTAGATATCGAAAGTATGAGTTGTTGTGCACCCAGGAATCTGAAGATCAACACCCATTAAACCAGATTCAAAGTACACTTTAGAATAATGAGGTTCACTAAATACATCTTTGGCGTCAACTTCTGAGTATGTGTACCAGAAAAACTGAGGTTCTGTTTGCAATGTTGAATTAATAGCATTTAACAGCACTTAACACACAGCTATCAACTCTTTAGTCAAAGCATTGGACTCTTTTGTGAAGCTGATAAAACCGGCCACACTTTGACTCCTTCTAAATACTAAAGTTTAAATTAAACAGTTGACCGCATACTACACTTGTAAACAATAAAATCAGTGAAAGAACCATAACCAGTCTAGATAACACCAAGTTAGCAAAATTTTGCCACCCAACATTCACTGGACAGTAAATGATCAAGTAACGAAGAATGAAAATTGACTGATTATGTATTATGTGCTCAGACAGATCAGTTTAAAATAATGAACGCTGTAAATTCCAAATGATATTTTCCAATAATGAGACTTTATTCAAATGAACATTCACAACGCATTAATTGTTGTTTGCAATGATTACAAAATCACGTATAAAACATAGTACTAAATCAAGAAGAAAATAATGTAGAACCCTTGTGAAATAGTGCAGTTTTGAATACATGAAAATATCAAAAACCGTGTTATATATTTTTATCAAGAAGATTACATTAGTTATTATGTGAATACGCATAAGAAAATGAATAGTTCCTTTAAAGAAATTGTCCAAATTATTGAAATGAATAATGAAGTCTAGAATATTCTAATGAATGACAAATTAAAAACATCGTGGTCAGAATAATAAAAACAAGATATAAAGCGTTTGTGAAAATCAATTTTCGCTTTTCTTTTTCTTACACAACCATCTCCAAATAACGTAACCGATACGTAGAACAGAGATGAAAAAGTGTAGAAGTACCACAATAAATAAGTACAGAAGTAAATTGTCCCGGTTATTCTCTTTGATTATATGAGTTGTCGTATTCTGAAGAAAAACAAAACAATAGAATTTATTACTAAATACCAAATAGTTACCGAGTGTTGGTCAGTTTCTTCGGTAGTTTCTTTCAGGTTTTCATTAACCTGAACTTCGGTGGTTGCCAAAGTTGTTTCAATGTGCTTGATTAGTGTTGGTGTGCTCAAATCGCTGACATCCGGGACCTCCTGTATAAACGAAACAGTAGCATTAATCATTGAACATCAGATATTACTCAATTAATTTGATAATCATTATACACCATTGTCAGTAGGGAGTCCAACAAACAGTTACACAATTTGCATTGGTACGATCATTTAGAACATCTACTACCGATTTTACGATCGATGTGATAAGTACACACTATCCTACAACTAATTGACGACCCATTTGTGTGATGAAATTTGTGTTCCGGATGTCACACTCAATCACAGTCCGAATGTGAATCAATAAACTTATAATAGACGGCTTTATTGGAGCAAATCATCCAGGTTACATATTTCTCAGCAGAAAATCAGAAATCCATGTTCTCGACTTCAGCAATGGTAGTCTACGAATTCTCACTAAATAATAAGACACATTACGCAGTTTCTTCACTCAAACTGGTTTCACCAGTATTTCGTAACAATCCACATAGATTCAGTTTCATATTGGATTTCTGAAATAACCACACATTCAGTTTGCTGAAAACTTATTATTGTGTTTTCGATCATTAGTGTTAAGCAACGCTTCGATCCGTTGTTCACTGTTTCCATGGTAAGAAAGCTCTGCGCTCATATCCGATTACATATCCTCAACGTGTACAAAGCTTTAATTTAGTAACCGAGGTAAGAATACAAGTTAGTTCCTATTCGTAGCACTAAAATGTTCTCCTGAGTAAATCTGTTTATTCAGATTGTGGAATGTGGTGATATTTAAAACGACTTGTGAAATTTACCAAGTACTTACCTCAACTCTGCAATCATTTACTTTAAGTTGATGTGTACTCTGATCATTACTTTCGATGCATGTTTTAGCTCTTTCACACCAGATACATTTCATGTTTGATGTTGATGCGTTTTGACATGCTCCAGTTGAGTTGTGTTTTGCACAAAGTTCTGTGAAAAATGTATGGTGATTTCATTTAAATTAATCAACCAAGAGAAATAAAAATTAAAAAACATGTAACTGCAACTCAATGATATGATGTTAAGTTCGTGAATAAGTGACTATTTCATTCACTGGGAAATTGTCATCACGATGGATAATGCAATATTCAGTCCACTTTCAATTTCACTCACATTTCACGACAGCATGTTTGAATTAAACGAAACTGCTTTGAATGTCGAGTGTGAACGATAAATTTCGAAAGACGAATTTGGTGGATTTCAATAACTGTTTACATTCAGACATGTACATACGATGCTGTCACTGGGCTCAAGAAAGCGTACTGCATTGAATGACAGACTGTAATTTGAAAACGCGACTAGTCTTAACCCTCAATTTATCGGATGTTTGCGAAAAAGCAGTGATTTTGGAAATTTAACAAAAGTTTTCAAGGTAATCGCAATTACATGGAATGTTTCCGCAATTTCAATGCCTTCCGAAATTTCGACATCACATGAATGGAAATAAAAAACAGACGCTTCTTCGTCAGTGCACAATCAAATAACTGACACTCATTGTGTTTCGAAACTAATATCACCTCATATATCGTCTTGTGACTATGTGTTTAAGTAAATTTCATCAAAGTGAAGACTTTATTATTAGTTCGAAATTCATCCGTAATCGCCTTTAAAAATCAACAATGGATCGAAGCTTAGTTAAAAGCAGTAAGTGTAACGTCATTTGCGACGAACGCTCAAATATCCTTCAATAGCTGGCTGAAATTAAATGTGAAATTTTAGATTTATTGAAACAAGAGTTATGTATTCAAATGAGAAAATATTTAATGCTGATTAAATAAGGTTTAGCATACTCCCGATGGTTTCAAACTCCACTAACGTGCCAGTTTTGATCAATTCTGTAGGAATATCAATTTCCGAATTTTTCTTATCGTTATGGGCAACTTGGGTAAAAAAAGACGCTTGAAATGTTAATTTCTTTTTTAAGTAAAACAAAATATTTGCACCATGCAAGGAGCAGTCAAAATACGAAACCAAAACATTTCTCATTACGGATAGGATGGTGATCATTCAACATACTCAAAGATTACAATTTGCATCTCTTTGTTTTTTGAAAGTGACCAACTTTCAACCAAGAATTTAAAAACGAAATCTGTAAAATTCTGAGTTACTTTATGAAGAAATCATTTCAACACTTTCGAAGAATACGTTTAACTCATCAAGCAAATTTTCACATATCTAATTACAAATAGGTAACATAAGAACTACAAACCAAAGAATAATGATGACTAGTAGTAAAATCGTCGACACGCATTTCATCTTATAAAGAACTTGTCAGCTAGATTCACTTGAATCTCAGATTTGATGTTCACTCTTAAACTGGAATCCAGCAACAATGGATTCATGCGTTGTCCCGTTATACACATTGCTACTTAATCCAGATACTCACTGGATTGCAAAATTGGCGAAAATTTATTTTAATTCTTATTGTTAATTGAATATTTCAAATGATATTTAGGACTGCTATTGATTCCACTCCTAGTCAACAACCCTCTTTGCCTACAGTGCTTGCGACTTAATGCGACATCGAGACAGAATTCACAGGATGCACAGATATCAATTAGAGACTGAGAAATCGCAGTCCGAATCATCAGGTTCACGAGTCAAACAAACAATACAAAAATAAAGATCTTCACTGTTTAAAGACTCGGTAATCCATTTCAACCGATCAACATATATAACATGGTCAAACATTAAGTGCATTTTCTCACATTCAATCATGAAACACTGTATCTTACCTAATCACTTGTCAGTTTCAAGTACTACGGCCTTATTTCTGTTTCATACAAAACACACTTCCTTTCACATTTTGTGGTGATGTGGCTGAAGACTGAGAGTGTGGCCGTTGTACTCTGAGTGTGTGAGCAAATGAGTGGATATTTTGTCTGAATATTACCGTCGTTCATACATCCCCGTATCGTTCGGTCAATTTGTAACTATAGGTGAGAGACGTTTAAAAATAACCATCCATACTTTTGTGATTCAGACAGTCATACACCATGGTTATTTTACTCGAGTTATCTGGTTAAGCGAGCCTCATCATCCAGATGACTGATGATGTACGTCATCGTACATCGAAATTTTAACAACATTCGTTTAAATGTTTCTTACTTTTTCCGCAATAAATTGCTCCCCCGAAAAACGCACCCTTCGTACTTTCGTCGGTTTTCGTAGGAATCTGAAAAAACGTATTTGAAACCTGGATGAAAATTTATCAACATACAACCTTCTATATCAAATACAATTAGCCATTAAACTAATGTGTCATCACTTCGATTGTCTTATTCGTAGACACCCAACCACACTTGCGTTAGACATGCTGATATTCCCAGTTTTGTTAAAAGTATATTCCATGTAGTCTACATGAATATTCTGAACTACTACAATTGTCAACTTCAGTCACGTTTGATGAACTGTCTATGCATGGTGGAATGAGACGACACACTATGCGATGAGTATCTGAGTCAGTTGAAATAAATTGTGATTGTGAGTAACTGCAAAGATGTTGCGCCCGGAATTTTCAACAGTGAGCGTTTCGAACAGCCGATCTACAGAAGATGAAATACAGATTGAAAGAATACGAATAATTCCGCACAGTACTCTTACATACACAGTGTTTGATACTATTTGGCACGAAGCCATCATTGTTTCTTCTGGTAGCACTTCATATTTAATTATTCACTGTTTCCAACAAGTGTTTGAATAAAAGTTTCCATTAAATGATTAATAATAGTGTCAGATAGTATGTTTTCACATTGCAAAATGATTGTAACTTTCTATCGTGTTCAATGTAACGTGATGAATCCAACAGTATTGATTGAAAAGGAAATAGTAGAATAATCTGAATAACTTGAAACAAAATTATGTATCCATTCAGTTGTGCAACTTACGTATTCAAAATAGATAGATATCTTCCCACTTGGATATATCAGACAAGTTATGTTAGCTGGAACTACAACAATTAAAAGATCATCGATACTTAGTATTCAACAGATGATTATTCGGCAAGTTATTTTCAAGTGTAACACAAAATGATCAGGTTTCACTGGATGTTTAACGTGTTGTCTGAAAGTTGTTCTTCAGTTGAATTCGTAATAAGTACATTCACGTAAAGTTCATGTGGATAAAACGAGCATGCATCCCTTAGGTCGAATATCGAATGCACAGCTTCTGAAGCTGTGTTACCATTGTACAATCACTGAAATGATAAGTCGCCAAGCTTCTCATTAAGATCTGATAGTCGGGGAGGAATTCACATGTATGCAATATTTTGTTTAAATACACCTGAAACAATCAATGAAGTATATATGACATGAACCACGGAGTGTTCATTTACGAATGGAACTTGGAAATTTAACTAATTGCCGAACATGTGGTTATTTCAATCGACCAGGCGATTCTGACCACAGCGTTTATTTGTTGTAGATGAGAAACGGATAGCTTTAGATTTGTCGTTCCAACGATTTCTTATTTGAATGGATAACCCTTTTGAATATCTATGCGATGAATGGATGTGTATGTGAATGTGTTGTGCAAAGTAAGGGCTTTATGACGAACACTCAACACTTCATTTATTTCGAAACACGGGCCCCAAGTTCCATTAAAGCTTGTAAACGAAAATGAATTTCTGCACTTGTTTTTTTCAAAAGAGAAATGAGATTGTGACCTGATTCATTCATAGCAATCAATTGATTACTCGTCAAATTTAGTCTCTCTCTGTTCTTGTCAACTGTTCTGGTCTCAACCAATGTAATCAATCTGTGATTGGATTTCACACATAATTCTACTTCCATTTCCCAGAAAAGTAACAAATTATTACATTGTCAGGTTCTAGGAAGAATCAAGTCGCACAAACTGTGAGTAATTACAGTGAATGAAGATGTAAGTGTATAAATTCCCTTTGTGATCAAACGATAATTCAATGTTGACTTACGTGTACCATAGTTTGGTCTTTTGGCGGACCATTTGGCAGCGACTAATTCCTCTACAATAATGGAAATCAAAATGGTTGTTGAAACGTCTGCCTAATGAATATCTATCTCTTTCAATACATATTTTTTTAACATGAACTGCCTTTGCATATAAGTTATCATCTTTCCGAGATTAAAATGAGCCGATGTAGTCAAATGTTCAAGAATCTGTTATGAGGAGGTCTTAAGGAATATTATGATCTCAACCATATGATGAACGTTTCAATTAAGTCAACTGAGAGGAATATTTCACTTCCATCAAATTTGTTCTAGGAGCTTTCGACTGGGTGAGAGAACTTTAACATCTATTCGACAGTACCAATACAGAATTATTTTGTGAGATTTTGCAATTCATTCATTCTGAAAAACTGACAGAAATGAATGTATGTAACCTTGATTTTCTGAGTGTACTTTTTCGGGTAATCCATCTTCTACTAGAGGAATGTTCATGATCGATCACTGATCAGTTTTCTCAGTATGTGCCTGTATTCAAAGTTCATAATCATACGAATATGATTGCAAAGATAGAGTTGAAAACTCGATGATCAACAGACAGAAACTCAGAGATCGTAAAATTTTGTGTATCCGATAAGTGCCAGAAAAGTGTTGGAGGATATTAAATATAATTTAACAATTCATAGACTTCAATAATCTAAACTGCCTTCCTTCACAACATCGTTTATTGTTACACATGTGATCAATGTGATTCATTTAGTCTATAAAGAAGCATCGTGTAGATGAGATATATACCACATCATAGTTTTGATAGATTATAGAGTAGGTAATTTATACTCTAGCAATTACATCACTTCGTTCACCATTTCCATTCAATTAATGTTTACTTATTTTGACACGAATTTTTGTTTTGTAAGACATTTTTACTTGACAACAATCAACACCTATTGTAAACACACGTTTTCGTACAAAAATCACACAAAGAACATCATCGCTGTGTACTGGTCAGCTCCTGTGTAATAATCCAGTTAAATACAGAATCATTTATGCAAAATAATTGTGATAAAATGAAACAAAACAAACT